AAGGAAAAAAATCCAAATAATCACTTGAACTCCTATACGCACGCCTTTCCTACTTTTTGGGGACAAAAACAATCAAATATTAATCAGCGGCTTAAAAACCCACCACCTAAATTTAATATTTCCGTGGTACCTTTTTTCTGGGGACAACTAAATTAAATTAGAAATTAATAAAACTACATTCCTTATTCTATGAAGACAATTTAATATGCTTGTCCCTAATAACACTTAAAAATCTATTTTCTAAGACAAGATAAAAGAACCGTCCCTTATATTGGTCCCCAAATCTTCTTTATTTTGTAGTGTAAACTAATATCAGCAACTCATTGTCGTGGTAGAGCTTTAATGCCATCATGGCCAAGATAAAGAGCCATTTGCAAAAAACATTGCCGCCTGGCCAGCATCCCATGGTCCAGCCTGCCTATGCAGCTCCGGTAGTTGAGTATGTACCTTCTCCACCTCGTGCTCAGAAGCTTCCTGTTGCACAACCACCTGCACAACCACTTACAACGGTCTATGTCGAGTGTCTCGTCTCATCTTTTAAATATAAAAAAAAAATCGTGGTAGTCATACTGGTATTCGTTTGCCCCAGCATCATGGCCCTAGTTATGTTGATGCCAAAACAACGAGCAACGCTTTTCAATCGCGCACTACTGTTATTTCTGAACCCTTTGCTATTGTTCATATGAATATCCGAGGACCCTCTCTTGTTGTTTCTTGACATGGTTTTTGCTATTTTGCCCTGTTTATTGACCATGCAACTCGATTTAGATGGGCTTATTTCCTCCGCTTTTAAATGATATTTATTATCGGTTGCCAAAGAATTTTTAACCATGATTTCGTCTCAATTTGGGCGCCCGTAAAAATTATTCGTTCTGATCCAAGTGGTGAATTTAGTTCTCACCCATTGTTGCTTGATATGTATAAATCGCTCTGCATCCTTTGTAAAAAATCACATCTTGAGGTCTCTCAACAAAATGGGTTGGTAGAGCGCAAGAAACGTCTTGTTGTAGAGCTCACTTGAGCTTTACTTTTGGCCTCGCACGTTCTCTCGCATTTCTTTCCTGAAGTAGTTGCTACAACGTTTTGGTTAATTGACTACAACAATTTTGGGATGTCCTGACGAAATTTTAATTTTTCATTTTAGGTTTGTCACAATAGAACCTATAATATGGCAGAACCAAAATTTGTCATATTAGTTGTATTTTTTTTTACTAAGAAATATTTTGTCATAATAATTCGTCATATTAGACCCATATTGTGACGAATTTATATGATGTCATAATATTTTGTCATATTACATATTTATTATGACAAATTGTGTATGTCATTATAAGTTTGTCACAATATTGTTCTCGCACTTTATTTTAAGTAACATAATTTTGGTAATGTGACAAAGTTTGATTAGTCAAAACAGGGGTGCTTTTATTCTTTTCCATTTTATGTTCAGATAATGAAAGTCAGTGAGAGAGAGAGGAAATAGGGCGCGAGAACTAATTCCCTCCAGCGCTCCAAAACCAGATCCATTCCCAAATTTTTCCCCAAAAATTGAAACCCGCCGCTCAAAAAACCCTCTGTCAATTGAAACTAGCCTGTCTTCGCTGTCGCATCGAATCCTCCCCGCAGCAGCGAGCAAGCGCATCGCTTCATAATCGAGTAAGACAATTATACTCTCTTCGATCACCCTCTTCCACTTCTGTCGCATCGTTTTCAGCCGATTGAGAGAAGCTTTCGTTGGGGATTTTTTGGGGGAGTTTAGGTGTTTGCCAATTGTAAGACGATTTTGTGGGGGATTTGGTTGATTTTGATAAATGGAATCCCTACATGTGCTCTTGCATGCGTAACTCAGAGATAGGAAATTTAGTTTCTGGATTCAATTGCAACCTAAGGGTTTTTTGGGGTTTATCGTTTCGTTAAGACAATTGTAATGATCTAAGAACACTATTCTCTGAGTTATCAGTAGTTCTTTGATTTCTGTAAGCTGCGTAGGGATGCTGAGTTATCTGGTTTGTGTTTTGTGGACGTTGTTGTAAGCTATCGGTTTCTACTTTGTGGATCTTGTTGTTATGGTTCTGGTATGCTTGGTTCTGTTCACTGTGTCGACCCTGTTAGAGAAGGTTTGATGGCTTCGGTGTTGTGATTGCTTTGCTATTGCTATTTCGACATCCTTAGGGGAACATTTGAGATTTATTCTCTTATTTTCATTTTGCAAGTGCTTGCTCAAGTGAAGTTATAAGGTCAACCTGCATTTTGTGATCCAAGAATCATACCAAGTAACAGGTTAGCCTAATTTTTGCACACAGACTAAATGGATAGGGGTTGGTTGAAGCACAAGAATCGATTTTCTGCTAATTATGTGAAGGGTTTTGAGTACTTTCTAGGGGTTGCCAAAGCATGTGCTGATGGTAGTGGTAGAATTAGGTGTCTGTGCAAAAAATGCAACAATTGTTGTTTTAAAACAATAGATATTGTGAAAGCTGACTTGTTCCTCAATGGGATGGTAGAGGATTACAGTTTGTTGATATATCATGGAGAGGACTCTGATATTGGTGGTAGCGGGACAACTGATAATTTAGAGGACACTGGTCATAATGATATGCATGGTTTTGACATTGAAATGCCTTCTATGTTGAATGATTTGAGCCGAGCTAATGCTGCTAGGTTTGGTACATTAGGTTTTGAATCTATGAATAAGGGTTTTGGGGGAGTGAATCTGGATCCAGCCTTAGCTAAACTACTAAAAGATGCTAACTCTCCTCTTTATCCTGGGTGTAAGAAATTTTCAAAGTTATCCTTCATTATGAAAATAAAGAATAACAAAATGTTAACCAATAGTAGCGACAAAGCATTTAAGCTCAATTTGGATCTAATCAAGGAAGCTTTACCAAATGGAGAGAATCTCCCTAATTCGTATTATGAGATGAAGAGGTAAATTCATGACCTCGGGTTTGGTTATACCATTATAGATGCATGTCCTAACAACTGTGTCTTATTCCGAGGTCCTTTCCAGAATGAAAAGACGTGTCTCAAGTGTAAGAAATCTAGGTATAAACCAGGCAAAGGGAAGGATATTCCCATTAAAACAACTAGGTATTTCCCTATAAAGGATAGGCTACTTAGGCTGTTCATGACAAAGGACATTTCCAAGGACATGAGGTGGCACAAAGAAAAATGAATTAATGACGATGTGCTTAGGCATCCAACGGATGCAGAAACATGGAATTATTTTGATAGGGACCATAGTTGGTTTGCTGCCGATCCTAGAAATGTGCGGCTTGCACTTCTTAGTGATGGTTTTAATCCATTTGGGAACTTCAGTTCTAGTTATAGCATGTGGCCGGTTGTGTTAACCCCTTACAATTTACCTCCATGGTTATGTATGAAGGAGTCTTTTCTGTTTCTAAGTGTGCTAATACCTGGAAAGAAATCTCCAGGTGATAACATTCATGTGTATTTAGAACCAGTAATAGAAGCTTTACAAGAATTATGGACGGATGGGGTGACAGCTTATGATGCATATTCTCAACAAACTTTTCAATTACATGCTGCCTTGTTATGGACCATAAATGATTTTCCTGCTTATGGAATGTTGTGTGGTTGGGGTACTAACGGAAAACTAGCACGTCCTGTTTGCAATAGTGAGACAGACTCCCTTCGTTTGAAATTTGGTTTCAGGATGCTTATGCGTCCATTATCTCTCGATGTCTCACCGGTGATGGGAAATCTATTTCTGGAATGAAAAGCCACGACCATCATGTCTTCTTACAATGACTCTTACCAGCTGTGGGACAAGGGTTGTTGAAGAAAGAGGTCTTTGTAATTCTGTCAGAGTTAAGTCTATTTTTTCAAGATTTGTGTGCTAAAACCATGACAAAGGCTACACTGAAAAAGACGCAAACGAACATAGTTCTCGTACTTTGTAAGCTTGAGATGGTATATCCATCATCTTTCTTTGTCGTCATGATGCATCTAGCCATTCATCTACCCCGTGAACTCGAGCTTGGTGGCCGGTTCAGTATAGGTGGATGTATCCCATGGAAAGGTACTTAATTAGTACTAAGTAGTTCTCGTTTGATTCAGTTTTCTATTTGAACTGATATAGATGAAAAAAAATTATGGTTTTCTGTCTTGGCATATTTATAGGTTTTTAGGCTCTCTGAAAAATCTTGTTAGAAATAGAGCTCGTCCCGAGGGGTCCATTGCTGAAAATATGTAGCAAAGGAATGTAATGATTTTTGCGGTAGATACTTACATGGGGTTGAGACACGAACAACCCGTCTGGAGAGAAACGATGAAGGGTGTCAAGTAATGGATTCTACTTGTATTTCTATTTTTGCACACAAGACTAAACAATTAGGAGGGGCAACTTATGTGACTCTAGCCCCATCTGACTTCAATAAGATTGAAAGATACATATCGAACAACTATGAAGAGGTTGAAAAGTATTTCAAGTGGAAAAAACAATCTTAAAGTACATGTTTAATTATAAGACAAAACAAATAAATTCTGACTTTGCAGCTTGGTGCAGTATCTTTTCAGAGGAGAGCATGGCCAAAACTCCTAATATTAGTTTTCATACCATTGAAGAAAACTTTCCAAAATGGTTGAAATCATATGTAAGATCTGCTTCCATCTTTATAGGAGATAGATTCCTCATGTTTCTGTATACATTGAAAACTCCTAATATTAACTTGCGTGTTGGTTTGTGTTATGGTATAGGTCACGAGACTGTTCTTGGTTGGAGAACTTGGAAAAAATGATTCTCTTTATAGTCTAGGTCTTGGTCCAGATGTGAGATTGACTTTTATGGTGTGCTGGTGGATATTTTAAAGTCGCAGTATTGCTATGGCTGCCATGTCTTTGTCTTCAAATGTGATTGGTGGGATGTAGGAGATAATAGAAACGACATAAGGTCAGATCGCTTTCTGACTAGTGTCAATATAGGACGAAAATGGTATGAACATGATCCATATATATTAGCTAGTCAGGCCAATCAGGTATTTTACACTGAAGATATGAAAAATGGTTGGAATTGGCGTATAGTTCAAAAAGTGTCTCATAGGCATGTGTATGATGTTTCTGAGATGGAATCAGATGATAGCACAGATCCGGTAGATGATGATGATCCATTCCAACTAGATGAAGGCATCGACATAGCTCTAGTTGAATCGGATGATGGAGACATCCAACTTTTAAGTTTGCCGGATGAGGCCCCGATTACTCTAAGCCAAGTCCAGATTTTACATATGGAAAACTTGCTCCAAAGAGACAATCTAATCCCACCAGCATTGGACTTGGATGTAAGTGGAGATTCTGAAGAGGAGATGGAGGAGGAAGAGGAGGAGGAAGACGAGGATGATGAGGGGAATGAGGCAGAGGATGACATGGAAGAGGACGAGGACGAGGAAGGGAAGGAGGCAGAGGATGACATGGAAGATGATAACTAAGTCCAGTTTTGAAATATATAAGTCACATTTCTCTATTCATGGTTTCTTTTGTTGTTCGAAAATTTACTTGTCATACACGTACAGAATGAGATATACATGATTCAAATAAATATTTACAGAACAATTTCTTATGGTGTTCGAACAATTTCTTTTATTTTCTTTATTGATGGTTTCTTCTTGTTGTTCTAGTTAGTTCATCAACATCTTATTTCAGGTATGGCTCCTGGTCCAAGTGGTGGTGGTCGACTAAGAAAGAAGGCAGATGCTAGACGCTCAGCAGCAACAAGTAGAACAACCAGAAGTACAGCCCAGTTGCACTCCACCACACCAGCAGATGGCTCATTGTCAGCTCAAAGTTTGAACCTTGAGGTGAATGTGATGAATGCTAAGGAAAGAAGCAATGGGATACGTGGTGAGGAAACAAACATTACTGAGACTGCCCCCTCTGCTCCCAATCCACCAAGTAAGTTTTCTCCATGACTTTGGTCTCTGTATGTAATCTGATTTGTTTACAAGGGATTGCACTTGTGTAACCTGGTATTGATAACTACATAACTAGGTCCACCACATAAGAAAAAAACGTGGAAAGGCTAAAGGGCTGGAGGTAGCTAAGATGACACGAGATGGTAGTAAGATTTCAGGGCTTGTAGTTGCTAGGGGAGCAAAAAAAGTTGTTGGTCGTAATGAGAGGATCTTTAAGATGGAGATAGGAGTTATATGTAAACTCATGGCTCCCATTGGTATGTTCTATTGGTCATATGTGACTGAGGAGCTAAAGCAACCACTTTTTGCCAAATTAGTGGTAAAACAAATCATATACCTATTTTTGCATGCTTGCTGGTCAGTATCTTCACTTTTTACACACTAACATACTTTCACGACTGCAGAGTGAGTTTGATATCTCAATGACTAATGAGGCTATGAGGTTGGCTGTGGATTATTCACTTTCTAAGAGGTTCATTAACTTCAAGTATGATTATCATAAGCATTATCTGGCGTTAGGAGCCGATGCTAGACAGACCCCTCCTGAAAATGTGAAGATGGAGGAGTGGATAAAGCTGTGTGAGCATTTTGAGTCTGATAGGTTCAAGGTAAGCCATCTGCCTTGAAGAATAGATTGAGTCTGATACGCATTTAATTAGGCAGTTCTGTTATCCTAGGTTAGATATGGATAAGGTGCTAATGAATGTTGTCTTATACGCTGATGCAGAGGCAAAGTGCTGCTAATTAACGAATGTAATGGTAAGGTTTCTCATCCATTATACTGCCATTACTAGAATGCACCTTACTAACATTCTATAATCAGGCTTGTTATTAGGAAATAACCGATGAAGCAAGCAATGAGGCTGATACGGAGAACAATGATAATAAATCTGATGAAGGTGAGGTATAGCCCAAGGAAATAAGAGTTTAAGCCGATACACATAAGAGAAAAATGGGACTTGGGTCAATGAGCAACCTCATAAAAACTATGTAAATGAACACAACCGGCTGTGTTTCTTCCTTTCTTTAATTAGGGGATGGTTCTAGTACTTGGATGTGTGACATATATAGGGTCTGATTGTAGCTAAGTTAGTCATGTAAGTGAATGAACTTGGTTGTTAGCAAACCTAGCTACTACTTGGATGTTAGAGGACCTAGCAAGTACTCTGACTCCACTGTTGTGTTCATAGGAGGAAACGAAAAGAATCCATGCTGAAGCAGTGGCAGAAGGGAAAATATTATCCGGTGCTGAGATTGTTCTTATGGTACTGGAAATAGCACCCATCGATACCAGAAAAGTCAGCTCGAGTTCCCAAAGAGAGAAAGAACTGGAGGCACAACTGGAGGAGACACTTGATGCGGGGGAGAGGCAGTGGAAAGAATTTGAGGACTAGATTCATGCACAACAGGAGCAGATAGAAAACCAGCAACAGAAGATACACAGTCAGAACGGTATTATCAAAGGGTTGCAAGAATCACAGGAGACCCTAACTAAATATGTCGTGTCACTAGCTGCAAAAATTGATGGAAGACAAGTTTAGCTGAAGGTAAAGTTATAGTCTCATAAGTTGTACTTATACTGTCATCGGTGTTACTACTCAATTGAATTTTATTTCATAAGTTTTACTCAAACTTTGATAGTTGTATTGCGCAGGTACCAAGGTATATGGCAGTAGGTATGCATTTTGGATGCTCAAGGACCACATCATCATGAGTATTAGTACCTTTGGAAGTTTGTTAGCTTTTGTTATTTAGTACTCTCTTTTGAAAGACGAACCTATGTCGCTTTGGAAGACTTTGTTTTGGTGTCTGGATGGATGGATCAATAGGTTTTTGGTATAGATTGTAACTATGAATGATGTAGTTTTTGATTCGGTAATGAATGATGTAGCTTTTTATACATTTGAATGATGTACCATTTTCTTTATGGTATGAATAGCATCATATTTGGAAAATAGGTTGTCATAATAATGCCCACAAGTTGTCATATATGAATCAGGTTATGACAAACAAGTTTCATCAGGACAAATGTCAGGTGGAGTCTGAGTTTGAATATTATGACAGTCACATGGCTTTGTCAATATAGGTTTGCTATGATAAACTATATATTTGCCACAACAACGTAGCAAAAGTGGTAACTATCGTGACAAAAATTAATAACATATTGTGACAAAGCATTACTGTATTTTGACAAAACATTTTGTCATAACAAGATGCCTGTTATGACAAAATGTGCACGGCGTGTGATAGCGTCGTATTTGCACATGTTTTTACCCTTGTTTCCTGACCATTTTAGCACGAATTTGTTGTTCCTTGGCCTATTTTACGCTAGTTGTGTTGCTTTATCGTATTTCAGGTCCTAGCAAGTAAAGAGGTGTATGGGCACAAGTTTCGGGTCATTTGGAGGTCAGGTGGCGATTCAAAGAGCAAATTACGGGCAGCCCCTGCCCATTTACGGGCGTAATTGCTCCTGGCATGCCCGTAAATGCAATGCCGAGCCTAATTCTTCAGAACTCCTGTCGCAGAGACAATTACGGGCAAGAGTCAAAGTAACTACGGTCGTAATTCCATAATTACTGGCAGTTATTGGGTAATTACAACCGTAAATCCTTTCTTCTGAGTTAAGTGAAACGCGCGTTTTGGGCGATTTACGGGCAGACCATGAATACGACCGTAATTCAGCCCGTAATTCGCCCAGAATCGGGTTTTTGAGGCAGATTCAAGCCAAAGGAGAGGGAGTCGACTTTTTGGAGCAAAACAGAGTTTTAGAGAGAGAAAGTGCGAAGAACAAACCCTAGAAGCTATTTGGAGTGGATTTCTCACCATTGAAGCCCATATTGCATCCCCAGGAGTGAAGATTGACATCCCAGAGCAGATTCTTCCCATTGTTATGAGTATGACTGCTTTGTATTCTGTTTCCCTCTCTCTCTCTCTCTCTATGCAGTAGAACTTTCTCTCACTTGGGTATGAAGAACCCTAATTCCATGTGTTAGGAATCTTGATTGTAATTACGTTTGGATTGTGATATTGCTTAATTATAATCGATTGAAGTGTTTTGATTGAGTCAATTGATAGAATCTGATTAGGTTGTTAGAGCTTCTTCAATTGGTAGTAGTGAATCTATTATACGAGAGTTAGTCGATTCACTGCTTTGTACTGGAATCTAATTCCAGTAGTGGAGTTCTGTGTTCATTGCCTCAGCGTTCTATCTCAGTGAAGACTAGTCGTCTGCCGGGTAGTTTGACTGAGAGGGCTTGGTCAGCTTAAGAGATTCCAAGCTACTGTCGGATCTTCCGCAGTATAATCAGCAGTAAAGCAACCAAAAGTAATTACAACTGTGACCTAACTAAGTAGCTAGGGGGACTCATTCCCGAGTGACTCTTCCTTTGCTTTAGAAAACCGAACCATTTCCTGCTTTCTTACTGCTTTTAGTTAAAATCACAATCACTCAACTTAGTTTGCTAGATAACAGATATACACGGAGTAGGCAGTAGATCTAGACCCCGGGTTGACAATTAAAGCTTGCCTATTAATGCATTTCTGGACTGCGATTACAGTTGGTAGCAGTTTGGTGTTGTGTTTTAGCGTGTCAAGTTTTTGGTGCCGTTGCCGGGAACCCTCTAAGTTATTGGGGAAACGTGAAAGTTTGTTACTCTATCTTTTTCTTTACTGCATTTTCTCTCTTCCACGTATGTGCCTTCACGGGTTGCTTTTGCTGATTGTGTGCAGGTAGTGCATGACCTATAGCCAGTCGGGAGATTTACTACCATTAGACCAGGAGATTGAACGAACCTATAGGAACTTCAAGCGGGCTCTAAAGGCGCGATTGGCTGCGGAGGAGGCACTAGCACAGCTGCAAATCGTCGATGAAGAAGAGATGGGTGACCCACAGAACAATGATGTGGTCATTCCCAAGAAACAGACCATGGGGTACTACTGGACCGCCAGAGCCGCGGACATGAGGTCGCCCATTCAGCACCCTCATGTCCCAGCCAACAACTTTGAGGTGAGAACCTCGTTCATCACTATGTTGCGCAGCTCGGTAGTATTTCCCATTCACTATGCCCTGATCACATCTGAGGCGATTCCACGAGCTCATCGATGGAATCAAGATAAATGGCGTCCCAGCCGATGCCATCCAGCTGAGGTACTTCCCATTCACTTTGGAGGGGCAGGCCAAGGAGTGGCTGGAAACCATGCCCCCTGGATCGATCACCACGTTCGCCAACCTGGCAGACAAGTTCCTCACTCGCTACCATCCTCCGTCCAAGACGGCGGACCTGTAGAAGCAAATTACCCACTTTGCTCAAGACGAAGATGAGACCATTCGGGATGCTTGGGAGAGATACACCAGTCTCTTTCTCAAGTGTCCCAACCATGGTTTTGGGCACCTTCTACCATGACCTCTTCCCGGAGGACAAGCAGCTGATTGACTCGGTCTGTGGCGGGAATATGCCCACCAAAACACCGCCACAGCTGAATCAACTCTTTGAAGAGATGGCGGAGCAGGGCTATGACTGGGGAACTGCGAGGAGATCGAGACGAGCCA